ATATATATATATATATATATATATGTATATATATATATATATATATATATATATATATATATATATATACAAGCCAAAAAATATATATTATGATCATCTTGATTCAAAATGTAGAGTTCGAATGAGATAAAATGGGTACAAAATTGATAATATCCTATATAAAATCGAAGATTCCATTAAATTTGAATCTGCAAGGGTGGACGTGTAAGAAGATTTATAGTTGAGGGGTAGTTGTAATTAGCCAAACAGGAGGGGGTTTTCGTAATTTAATCATACCTCAGGGGTGGTTGTAATTTACCCTAATAATAATAATTCCAATTGTATGCAAATTAAAATTCCCCATTATATATATTGGGGCAGTAGAGAACAGAAATCGAAACCCTAATTATTTGATACGAATATCGTCGGTATTAATTATTATTATTATTATCGGTATGGGCAGTCGAGCAGGATACGAATATCGGTATGGTTTTGCGGCGGCGTACGGCGGTGTGCTTCCACTAAAAAGTTTAAGAAGTGATTATTGGTTCGGAGAGATTCGATATGATTTTGGGTGACGATATTGAGGATCCAACTTATCTGAAACCGAGGCTAGAATCGTATTGGATTATTCCATCCGATGAAATTGATTTATTGCTTTCTGGGGCATTCGATTTTGCCAAACAGTGCTCATCTAATGATAATGATAATCTTGTTATTTGTGAATTTAGACATTTGTACGGTTCAGATTGAAGGAGAGTCGATTGATGATGCATTCGATAGGGCGATCAGTGGGGAGTGTTTGGAACCAATATTCCTTATGCTAAACTTTTCAGGTAGGAATGATGAGATTAACAAGCTTGTTCCCTCGGAACTCCAGCGTTTCTTGAACACAAGACTCGACAAGGTTAGAGTTGAAGATTTAGACGAGTGGTTGAGTCTTATGAACGAGTGCTCTATTTGCCTGCGTAGTCCGATTGTCGGATCTCGTATATCTGTGCTTCCTAATTGCGGTCATGCTTTTCATTCACATTGCATTGTGAGATGGTTTATCTTGAGCAATTTGTGCCCCTTGTGCTCTTGTCCTGGACATTATTTCCCTGTTTCTCAAGACTTTCCTTATCTTTCTTCTTATTAGCTTTTCGTTGTTGTTTTACTTTTCGTTGTTTTACTTTTCGTAAGATTTTTTTTTTCTTTTCTTTTCGAAATGAATGAATTATTAGATTACTTTTCATTTATATGGATTCTGATTATTTTTTTTGATTACTTTTCGAAATGAGTGAATTATTGGATTTCCAAGAACGTTACACTGGTCATGTAGAATTGGAATAAAAGAAAGATTATTTGGGGGCAAGAAAAAAATTAACATTCTTGATTCTGCAAATGGGATGAATATACAAGAAACAAATGGTTGTTTAACGAATTCATAGCTTCGTTTTTAATTACTCTAACACTTGGTTCATGCAAAGGAGGGCTTTTGAGACGTAAGCTGCTTCGTCTTCTCAAGAACTCCAAAAAATATCGAACCACCGATACCAATCCCACAACACTTTAGGCCCCATCCCCTGATAAACGAGAATCAAAATTGAATAAATAAATAAATAAAAGAAGTTAATACTTGCAATTATCCAGTTGTTACAGTAAAACATGCAAGTTATTGCACCTGTTTATTCAATAATAAATTGAAATCACAATATCCGTAAAGAACCGGATGTTTTTGGTTCGGTTCGGGTTCCTCCAAAATCGGAACCGGAACCGAACCGAACCGTGGTCAAGTCTATTCTACACACACCAAAGTGGGTGTCTGTATTTGTGTGTATATGACTGGAAAAGATTTACTCGGTGTAACATAAAATAGACCTTAACCAGGTATAATTTATGTGTATATGACTGGTAAAGATCTACCCGGTGTAACATAGAATAGACCTTAACCACCGCAACATATCAATATTATCCCTATTACTAATTATTTATTGTGACTTTCCGTTAGTATTAGGGGTGGAAATTTGGAATGGAATTTTCGAATTCCGTCAATTCTGATTCAAAAATATCTGAATTTAGAAACGCATTTTTCATTCCGATTCTTTCGAATTTATTTGGAACGGAATTGGGGTATATTAAATTATCGGAAATTCTGATTTCCGATGTGATTTTAGTTTCGAATATTGTTTTTTGAAATGTATAATATAATTTGATGATATACTTTGTAATTACATAATATAACTTACGTTATATTTTATATGAAAATATAAATACCGAAGATCAAGTAAATTAAAACCTTAGAAAAGATTAATTGGTATCATAAATTTTATTTTATGTTGCATTTTTTCTTATAAGAAAATATATGTTTCAATTTGTTGTTCCTATGTTGTGTTTTTATTTATTGCGTTTTGTCGAATTATGTTTTGGATTTTCTTGCATTTTTCTACAAAAAAAAAAAATAGAAAAATATTGTGAAAATTTCCGTTGTATCCGAATTTGGAACAAGATATTGTAAACTAATGTAATTTTCGGAATCCCACCGATTCCGAAATCGGGATGAACTTTTGCATTCCGATTTTTTTTAACGGAAATTAGAACCAATTTTTTACTTTCGAAAAAAAGTTACTTTGTTTTTCAAAAGAACAATTTACGATCCATTCCATCCGATTTTCACTCCTAGTCAGTATATAACGGGAATATAAAAGCACTACAACATTGATACACTCATAAAAGATGAGGGACTTTGACGTGCATTTTAGAGATGAGGGACTATAGTGGAATAAAACCTAGACATAAGGGACTAACAATGATATTTGGCCTTATTTCATTATCCAACGGCTACAAATAAAAAAAAAACTGTTAAATTTTCAATAGCCACCAGTTTGCCTGATTTTTCAAAATCCTAATGTTATATTCTCTCTCTCTTTTTTTCTTTTTTTGCAGATTTTTCTATTTACGAACCGAATATTGTTTTCGCGGATTTTCAGGACAATTTCGAACGAGTGCCGAAGGAGCTGATACAATAACATGGTTGGCTTTACAACCAAAGGAAAAACTCGTTTCGGGTGGATTTTATTTCGATCGAGAAGAAACGACTAAGCACTTACTATTTGCAGCTACAAAGGACTCTCATTCTTCTATAGACTCTATTGCTAATACACTCCACACTTTGTCCACTCTATAGTTATAAGTTATAACCACTATTCTTGATTTTCTCCACTTTTTTTTCGGTCTCGATACGATTTTAGGGGAACTCGAACTTTTATAAGGTTGAAAAAGGGTATTTCAGTCATTTTAATACGGTGCGTAACAATCCAAACTGACAAATATTTTTGCTCCATCAGAATCAAACCTTCCTCACATGAGAATCATTACAAATCTTAAAAAAAAGTATTACTATATGCACACTGTATATATGTAATTCACAGTAATATGTATATATATATATATATATATATATATATATATATATATATATATATATATATATTAAAGACAATTTGAATTAGGAAAGTCTTCTTTTCAACCAGTACTGCTCAAACCTCTGCCTTGCATATTCGTTGTAATCGAAGTCGATGTGGTTCACATACGCCTACGAATCATTAAAAAAAACCGATAAATAGCAATAAAATTTGGATATGTATAAATATAATCGAAATAGAAAAAAGATAGATAATTTACCGAAATCAATCCCCATAGTCCCCAGAAAATGTGGTTCGCCAGACTGTATTTCTCTACATCATCTGCCAGCTTCGCTATCTTTTCGTCGCTAGCTTCTTCGCCTACACATTTAAAAAAAAAAGTTAAAGTCGATCTTTTTAATATTACGTTTTTTCGGTATACAGACGAGCTCTGTTTCAAATTCAAGCGAAAAAAGAAAAAAAATAAATAAATAAATTTAACACAAAACCTGCAGAGCTGAGGTATTGCTTTATAAATCGACGACGCTCCTCTAGACCTGTTGCCAAATTTTATCGAAAAATTAAGATATAATCAAATACAAACATTAATCGTAAAAAAATAATATTTAATTACTAACCGGGATATTTCGTGTAGTCCAAAATGTGGGGTGTATCGGTGTGATAATCTGCAGCCATCTCATTGAAATGGTTCGCAATATCATACGCCACTGGATTATAACTCGCATATTCGTAATCCTGTTAAAAAATAAAAAATTAAATAAACGGATATTCGTATAATATTCATTGTCTTAAACCTCGTTTAGTTTATGTAAGGGAAGCAATAAAACGTACGATTATAGTGATGAATTTTTTCTTGTCATTGATCATTATATTGCCATACTGCAAATCATTGTGGCAAAAACCGGTTTCTTGATCATCCCTCGATATTTCTCTCTCCAACGAGTTTATTTCGTTTTCTAACTTTTCGAATTGATATTCGTTTGCTTGATCAAGTGAACACAGTTTTTTAGCTTCTCCGAGCCAATTTCTGCAGAACAAAAAAAAATAGGAACAATTTAAAAAAAAAAATTACTTCGACTCGGTTTTTTTTTTTTAATAATAAAATTGGTACCTCATTCGGTTCCACAAGATAATATCTTTCGAACCAGATATATCCAAATTATGAAACTCTCTCATTTTTGCTGCTATGAGTGCTGATATTTCCGGATTACGAAGATCGGTAGAAGATAGAGTCTGTCCATTAAAACAATAATACGAAGCAAATTATTCATAATTTTCAAGAACATTGCGTAACAATCAAGAAAACGCGACGAAAAAATAAAAACGCAATCTTTTTACGACAACCTCAAGCAATTTCAGATTAATTTCGAGATCAAAAAGTTAAGGGTATGAACAACCATGTTAGAAATAGTCAACAAAAACAAGATAAGATGGAATACTAAATTTGCTTTAAATGCTAATAAGTCAAGAAATCATATTCAAATGAAAAATAAATTGCTTAAATCCCAATTAGTCATAAATTATATTCAAAAGAACAACCTCCAGCTGTTCTTCCAGTTGACTGCAATTATATATGAAAAATATATAATTGTTTTGTTGTATAGCTCATAAACAACAAAACAAGAAAATAAGTTTGAATTTCAGATCAACACGAAGATTCCCACTTATCGAAAAATTTAACTTTCAAACAATGGGTTTTCGGGTTTTCGGGTTTCGGTTTTCTAGTTTCGATTTTCTGGTTTCGGGTTTCGGGTTTTCGAGGTTTCGGATTTTGGGTTTCGGGTTTCCGGATTTTGGTTTAGTTTCGGTGAATTTCAGATCCACAAGGCAACTCCTACTAATCGAAAAATTTGACTCTCCAACTAAAATTTGAAGGGCTCTACTCTAAATCACACTATCCTTATTGAAAAATCAAGTTCAAAAAAAAAATAACGAACAAGAAAAATCGAATTCTCCGATTTTCACATATGCAAGAATAAGTCAAAAATCATATTCAACTCATGATTCCGGTCAAATTCTCTAGCCTTTCGAAATCAACAAACAAGAACATAATTCCGATTATCAAATCAACACGGCAATTCCAACTTATCGAAAAATCTAATTCTCCAACTAAAAATCATTTCTTGTAAAGAAAAAAAACAAGAAAAAAACAAGAATCTGATTTTTCACATACCCTTGCATGAATGAACTCTTCGATTCTCCCTTCGCAGAACTGCCCCAACAATTTAGGCCCGTAGCCATGGCCCGAAAGAGACTTAAAAGTCTGGATCTCGTCTTCTCGATTAAAGAAAAGATCGACACCTTCGCCATAGATCCGAACCAAAACCGTTCTTGCGACGCTTTCGATTTTTGTTGGCCAGCTAATTCGATATACCTTATTAGTCATTGCACCGCTCAGATGAACTACATTCAATGATTTTGAATCAATTAAATCTCCCCAATTGGAATAAGCAACCGATTTTAGCAGCTTCATCAATTCCTCGGAAAATTCGCCTTCGCCGATTTCGTTATTCTTCACCGCCATCGGTTACTAATTACGTTTTTCTTCCCTTTCTCTCTCTTTTTTCTTTTTCCCCTAAACCCAATTAAAAAAAAATCCAAAAATCAATTATAGTTAGTACTCAATTTCACCATTACCACTTCATCATAAATGAAGATCGCAAAAAAATAACCTATACAGCTGGCTGCGGGTTCGTTAAAAATAAGATAAATCAACCATATAATTAAATCCAAAGTTAGCCCAGAAATCAAGATGTACACATATGAAAAAACCCAGCTTAAGAAATGATCAAAAAGAATTCAAGAACACAAAATTAATTCAAAATTGAAATAAATAAACTCACCAAGAAAAGTGATAGATTCTCTTCTTGAGTGGAGCTGAAAGAGAATCTCTTTGTATATATTTATAGAAAATAAAATTATGAAAATGGCAGCCAAGAATCTGCTTTTGCTCTTGTGACCAATTTTTTACAGTTTTTTTTTTTTCTCTCTCTCTCTCTCTCTACTTCTCTCTCTCTTTCTCTCTCTTGGTGTGAAGAAAATTTAAATTTGTCAGTTATGTCAGCATATCTGAAATTTTAAATAGTATAGTATCTTCCACGCTGATCACACGCATTGAAACGTGTACTGGCACAGAGACAACGAATAGCAAGTGGACACGTGGGCAGTTGTGCACCTGCCGGGAAAATTGGAGCACTACAAAGTAAACGACCAAAAACTAACGCAGTTACTAAAGTCAAATTTTTCCTATTGATCATCCATCCAGTCGTTGGATATGTGACACGTGTCAGTTAGTTTTCCGCTTTTTTTTTTTAATGACTAAAAGTGTTAAACTTTGGAAACATGAAGGACCAAATGTGTTTTTTGTGAACGTGGGGACAAAATGTGAAATCGATGCATACTTGATGGACGAGAACTGTTACAGTTTTCAAAAATTTTCACTATTTATCCAAAATAATTATCTTTCTACAATATTTTCAAAAACTTTCCCAAAAATATTTCAATGTTTCTCCCTATGACAAATATGATTTGACTGCTACAGTGAAAATTGTGTTCACTAAAATAAAAACTAAAATCACTTTATTTTTCAAATTATTCTTCCAAAATATATTTTTTTCAACACCTTTTAGACATGATTTGATTGACTACAGTACAAATTGTTTTTTTCTCAAAATACAAACATACTTTATTTTATTTTGAAATTCTTCTTCAAGAACATCTTTCTACATAATAAAATAGAAACCGAAGCCCAAAAACTTACCAAACATAGCATGTATTTTTCCCGTTTGTGGAGCTTATTCCAGTTGGTTTGCAAGTGAAAATTAAATTAAATGAAGAAGCAAATTGCTCTAGTAATTGTTAGTGTGAAATATAATATATATGATATAACATGTATTTCGACTCCAACACGCTTTTTAATCCACATTATACTAAATTAGGGGTGAAAATCGGACGGAATGGATTGGAAATATCTTTTTCGAAAAATTTCCAATTTTTTTCGAAAGTTAAAAATAGTTTCTAATTTCCGTTCCAAAAAAATTGGATTTCAAAATCCATTCTAATTTCGGAATACCTCGGAATCGGCGAGATTTTGAAATTTTCAGAAATTGCATTAATTATTTTTTTGTTCCAAAATCGGAGATAATGCTAATTTTTTCATTTTTTTTTCTAATACTTTCATAATTTTTTCAGCAAAATGCAAGAATTCAAAACAAAGGTCAATAAGATGAAATGTAAATACTTATAGAAACAACATAATTAGTTGAATAAAGAAAACATAATTCTTGCAAAACATGAATAGAAAAACAATTAAAAAAACCAACATAACAAAAAAAACATAGTTCTTGCAATTCATCAAGATTCTGACTCTCAAGACTCTTAGGTTCTTACTTGGGCCTCATTGGGTATTTATATTTTTTATATAATATATATCATAAATTATATTATAAAAATACAAAAAATATATATAATATTTTATATTTCGAAAATAAAATCGGATCGGAAATCGGAATTTCCAATAATTTTATATGTAATTCCAATTATGTTCCAAAAATAACCGGAAAAATCGGAAATCGGAATATCGGAAATCCGAATGAAAAAAAAGTAGTTCCAAATTCGAATATTTTCGGATTGAAGTTGGCGGATTTCGAAGATTTCGTTCCAATTTCTACCCCTATACTAAATTCATTCATCCATCCATTCATCTTCTTCAGCGCAATTTGCAAATGATTTTTTCAATTGTATCATTTCGTTTTATTATTCACTTATTTTACATTTTGTTAAATGAATTTATTCAACAAACTTGAAATAAAAATTAAAATTAATTTAATATTATTTTGGGCAAAATCAATTGTATTTTATTTCATGTTCGATCTCAGCCGGTGATTGAAATTTAATCGACGCTAACAAAGAGGGATCCAAGTGGATGTTTTCGGCCAATCCAATTACAGTGCCGACGCCGTAAGTATACTCGTTATGTACCGTGGATTAAAATTTAATCGACGGTACCTAAGAGGGGATCCAAGTGCACTTATTTCGGCAGTTGGACCCGAGCGTGTTCCGGCAAATTCACACTTTAATTTTTTTTTTTTCAAAAATATAAGTATTTAGGGAATATTTTATTTTTACATCTCCAATTAATTGTATATGATACTTTTGTTGCAAAAGGGATTATTTGTATTGTATTATATTGCCTAATTAATTGATGAATTTTGACTTAAAACAAATGTAGATCTTGATGTCAAAAGAATATAGGTGGAATTCTTGTCATTCTTTATTTCGAACTTGATGTTTTTGAACGGTATACTATGGTTTGCATTTGGCTTACTTGAATAAGATCTTTTAGTTTAGGGTAAATTACATCCACGCCCCTAAGGTATGCGTAAATAATTTTAAGGTTCTTGTGGTATCGGCAATTACACTCACCCCTGAAACGTAGTTAGAAACTCTAATGGGATAATACATTGATTGGATACGTTATTCCGATAGAGTTCTAACGAACTATTACTTTTAGCTAGTGGTGGAGACAACATAGAGTTATAGAATCTAATAATCAAACACACTATTCCTACAACAAAGAAAGAAAATGAGATGGCGGATGTTTCACGAGTAAGATTATACATGGATGAAATAATGGACTGGGTGTAGTCGAGCGTGCGTGGGTAAAGACGACGAACCCTTGTTAACATGTTTGTTCGAGAATCCAGAGGGTGTCAATCTCGGAATGGAAGTGTTACGGCGACTGAGTCGTTGATACATGTTTCGAATGATTATTGAGTAATTTGAGTCAAAATAAGTGAGTAGGTAAGTTAGATAAAGGATATCAATGTTAATCTGTTCAGTTACCAACCCTCATTAGGAGAGTTGGTACCTAGACTTTACCAATAGGGTAAAGGTCTGGGGTTCGAGTCCCCCTCCTCCCCTACTTCCCCTTGTAATGGACTTGAATTTACTCAAAAAAAAATGTTAATCTGTTCAGTTAAGGCAATTCACTCTATTTTCAAACGGGTTTTTGGCACTTTGCACCCTTGAATTACATCATTTTGGCACTTTGCACCCTTAAATTGCAAAATTGGCAGATTGCACCATTTAAACATAAATTGTTTGGCACTTTGCACCCCAAATCACTTTTGACTTAGAAAAATTACTTGCAACTTATTGAAAACATGAAAGATGCAAATTCGCAATTCTCTAATTATCTATCATCTTCCCACAATTCTTAATCATCGTTCCACATTTTTATATTTGGTCCTATTAATAAAAAAAATCCTAAATTCTTCTTACCCGTTTCTATTTGCCATAATATGTAAATTCTGAACTAACACTTCATAATTTACATATTATGGCAAATAGAAACGAGTAAGAAGAATTTAGGATATTTTTATTAATAGGACGAAATATAAAAATGGTGGAACGATGATTAAGAATATATAGACAGGAGTTCGAATATATAGAATATATAGACAAAAGTCCATAACACACCTTCAAAAAATCAAGTTTTATTCCATGGTAACACTATTTTTTTTTAATAATTTTGCAGATCCAAAATATTCAACGGGAGCACAAATATCTTTCCATCATGAAACTAATAGGCACCACGTTTCTACCACCAAATAAACTTCTCATTAGCCTTATTTTGTCATTTGACTATTCAAAAAAAAAATTGAGGGCTCGGCCTAAAATTTCCAGTTATATTATTTTTCATACACAAAAGAAAAAAAGTGATTTACTATTATTGTTTAGTGTTTATACCGATTTTACCATTGAAAGAAATGACTAAAAAGATTTTAGGATTTTTTGATTGAAGGGACAAAAGATAAAAATGGTGGAACGGTGATTAAGAATCGAGGGAAGAGGATAGATATTAAGAAAATTATGAATTTGCCCATCTTCCAGGTTTCCAACAAGTTGCAGGTAAGTTTTCTAAGTTAAAAGTAATTTGGGGTGCAAAGTGCCAAACAATTTATGTTTAAAGGGTGCAATCTGCCAATTTTACAATTTAAGGGTGCAAAGTGCCAAAATTGTGTAATTTAAGGGTGCAAAGTGCCAAAAACCCATTTTCAAACTCCCTATTTTAACACACTATGTTAAGGTAAAAAGTAAAAACTAGAAGAAAACCAACGGCCAACAGATCCTGGCCGTTGATTTAAACCGTCAACAATCTTGACCGATACAAAATAAAATTGGATTCATTTCAACCCACCGGTTCGGGTGTTCACCGGTCAACATGGTGAAGCGGCGGAAACTGGCTATTTTTTTTAATTACACAGTTTGGACCACAATTATTTATCTTTTTTAAAATTAATTATATATATAAAAGAAATATCATTATTGGCCAAAAGAAATAAAAATTGCTTCCAATGGTTTATTTACATTTGCATTATTGCATCTAATAATGAGATGCTACAAAAAAATCAAAGATACAATTTATATGTATTTCTTGGTTGTTTATACCATGTTACAGAAGGTGAAACCCATTGGGTAAATCTTTACTATTCATATACACACATAAACATTGGTGTATGTAGATCGACGATAAGAAACCATGCACTGGTGTAACCTTCACCTTTTGTATCATAAAAGTGGTTCCAAATTCGAATATTTTCAGATCGAAATCGGCAGAATTCAAAAATTTTGTTCTAATTTCCACCCCTAGATGTAGGGTGTTTTTACACAATAAACATTTTTTTTATTCAACCTTATAAAAGTTCGATATCCCCTAATTATATTTTTAACATGAAAAATCTAACCTAGGCACAAAAAAATAGGAACTCTAAACAAACAAATTAAAAAAAACAAGAAAATCAAGAAATGGTGGTTATAAGTTATAACTAAAGACTGGACAAAGTGTGGAGTGTATTAGCAATAGAGTCTATAGCAGAATGAGAGCCCTTTGTAGCTGCAAATAGTAAGTGCTTAGTCGTTTCTTCTCGATCGAAATAAAACCCTCCCGAAACGAGTTTTTCCTTTGGTTGTAAAGCCAACCATATTATTGTATCAGCTCCTTCGGCACTCGTTCGAAATTTTTCTGAAAATCTGCAATATAATATTCGGTTCGTAAATATAAAAATCTGCCAAAATAAAAAAAAAAAAAAAAAAAAACAGAGAGAGAGAGAGAGAGAGAGTATAGCCTTACGATTTAGAAAAATCGGGCAAACTGGTGGCGACTCCGGGTGTTGCTGCCCAACCAGGGTGCATTGAGTAGAAGCCGATACCTTTATCTTTGTATTTATCGGCCCATTTTTCTGTTAAAGCCACCTGAGAAGCAAAATATTGAAGCTACTAAAATATTTAATTGAACAAGTGTATTTAGGCCTTGTTTGTAAATAGTTAGGTGTTATTTAGTGTTTGGTTTAGTCGAATAACAAAAATAGGGGTGGGAATCGGACTGATCGGATCGGAATTAGCAATTTTCGGACAAATTCTGATTTTGTTTTGGAAGTTAAAAACTAATTCCAGTTCCATTCCGGAAAATAATCGGGAAAATCTGAAATGGGAATTTCGGAAATCGGAACGATTACAAAATCGGGAAGTTTTGGGTCGGAATTAGCGGAATATGGATCCAATTTTTCAGTCACCTAAAATACAAAATATGAAAATACATAATAACTTCGAAATTGTTAGTGTAAATTTGGGGGGACAAAATCGGAATTTCTCAATTCGGAATGAAAAATACTGTTCCGAAATCGGAATTTTGTATAATCACAAATCCCAAAAACATAAGACAATCACCATATTAGATTATCATAGACAATGCCATCATAACAAACTCATCAATCTTAACTAGATTAATCACATTGTGGCAACCAAACGGAGCCTTAACGAATATCCGAACTATCCAACATTATACGTACCTGCACTCGCTTGTTCCGTGCATACTGTGCAACCCCGTCAAATTTATTACCGCTGAACTGTGGAACATAAATTAAGATTATTACCACCAATAAAAAAATAATTTTACGAAAACAAAAATTAAAGTACCTGCAAATCTTCCATCAACGGGGAAGTATACATTCCTCCCGACGAAACAGTGATGACACGAGCATAAGGTGCAGCCTTTTCGAGCAATGGCAACATAGCTTCTGTTATAGTGTAAGTTCCTAATACATTCACCGCAAAATTCATCTCGTATCTGGTCCCACATAAAAAAAAAAAAAAAAAATCAGTTTATAATAATCGAGAAGAAAAAAACGAAAACTCATCACAATATTAAAAAATGAAACTAAATGCCACACACCCTTCTGAGGTAATTACACGATCATTCTCGAGCACACCAGCGTTGTTAACCTTCAAAATTTCATGAAAAATCGACAAAAATTATGGGAGTTTATTATTTTATTTTTGGGCAAATTACGGCGATCCCCTGAGGTATGGCCAAATTACGAAAAAAACCCCTCTTGTTGGGTAATTACAGACACCCCCCTTCTTTTAAATATTTTTACATAAAATTTATGTAATTCGGTTATTTACCGAACCAAATCATATATTTAGTTAGGTAAACAATATGAAATGTTGGCGTACAGAAATTTCGGTTCGGTTTTTTTTTACCGAATAAACATCCCTCAATTTACCTCTGGAGGGAGCTTTTCGTAAGATAATACATAGTCGAGGGAGGTGGCTGTAATTACCCAAACAAGAGTGGGTTTTCTTAATTTGACCATAACTCAGGGGTGGTCGTAATTTGCCCTTATTAGTTATTAGAAATGGAAAATATGAAATTACCAGTATATGAACAGGCACATCCTTTGAAGAAAACCGAGACGCAAAAGACTTGACGTCAGTGATGCAAGAAATATCACAGACCTGTCAGCAAAGCGAAACCCTCGAAAATCAAGAAAAGCAAAAAACAATGCATTCGTTTATACTTTATCGAGTTCGGACAAGAAAGTCAAAACAAAAAGACCTCCAAGTAAACATTTTTGTTTCCCGTTGTCGACTGAATCTCCGAAACTGCTGTCTCGCCCCTCTCTTTATTCCGACACACCATATACACATTCGCTCCACTGTATCAAATGTACAAATAAAAAAAAACTTTAAAATTCATTAAACGAAATACTTTTATATTTTCAATCAATTTGCGAAAAAAGAAAAAAAAAATCGGCACCGAGAAGCAAGGCCCTCGGCAGCTGCGTAACCGATGCCAGAGTTCGCTCCGGTGACGATGCAGTTCTTTCCTTCGATTTGCGATTGCATATCTTCTGGTCTGAAATTCTTTGAATGCTCCCTAATACATTTGAAAATTCTTCAATTACGTATACGATCAAGGGGTAAAATCGGAAATTCCAACATAAACTAGGCTATATCCCATCTGTTCTTACTTCTGCCATTGCCCAAATCAAATGTATTTATATACAATTGCACAACATAGATGAAGCCAATACACTACAACAATTAAAATATATATATATATATATATATATATATATATATATATATATATATATATATATATATTGGTTAATTGGTTAATAAGAAAACTCAAAATTTCAGCAAAATGAGTTTTTGTAAAATAAATGAACCATCTTTCTATAAAATAGTCAACTGCAATAATCACACACACACACACACACACACACACACACACACACACACACACACACACACACACACACACACACAACCAACCAAAAGAAAAACAAGAAGAAAAAAAAAAGCAGAAATATTTAATTAAAACCCAATACAGAAAAAGATGAAAAGTTGGCAAATAAAATTAAAATGGGGGACTCACTTAAAAGCGGATTGGGTGAAATTCTTGTAGCCATAAACCCCAAATGCAACCGATCTCCATGTCTGTAAAAACGACGTCGTAACAAAGGAAATTGAAACATTTTAGTATTAGATCAAGCAACATAAAATCAAAAGAAAAAATTAAATGGGGTTTTCGATTTTATTACCTTCACGAGAAACATGGTGAGTTATGATTTCCTTCTCGAGAAACATAGTAATTTGAAATTATGTTTGCATTATATATATATATATATATATATATATATATATATATATATATATATATATATATATATATATATATATATATATATATATATATATATATATATATATAGCTTCTGATTCTTGGCTCGTATGCTCCCACGCCACACTGTGCTGGACCGTTAATATAAGTAAAACAATAGGGAAAAATACATTTTTGATTTTTCACCCCTCGAGTCTTCACTAATTTTATATTTGGCCTCTTATGTTTACTAAAAAACATATTTGCTCCCTCATATTTCAAAGATTCAACATTTTTAGTCCTTTTTGTCAATTTTTGGTTATTACTAATGGAATCAAGCGTGTGCCCGTCACTGCGATTTAACGGTAACATGACAGAAATGACCATAAATGTTAAATTATTAAAACATGAGGGACCAAATGTGTTTTTTGTGAACATGGAAACCAAATATGAAATTTGTGCAAATTTGTGGGGTGAAAAGCGTAATTTTCACTAAAACAATTTGTTGTTTTAAAACCCACAAATTGGCCTAATTTGTATATTAAAAGAAAAAATAAAAAAAGAAATCGGCCTAATTCGGTAGAGTAAAAGATTGTAGTAATATTATTCGAACCCGTGTTCTAATACTTTGTCAACATTTTTAAAATCGAGTCGAGTTCCTTTTTTCAAAAACACGATCAAGGATTCACCTGCCACTAGGGGTAGGCATTCAGGTCGGGTTATTCGGGTTATGACCCCGACCGGATCGGGTAATTTTCAAGTCTACCGAGTTCGGGTACCCGGTGTTCTTTAACCAGGTCGGGTCCGGGTTCTAAATTTCCTAACCGGGTACCCGGCGAAACAAAAAAAAAAAACTTCATTGTCCACTTTCACCCAAACCCAACTCAATTTCAAGTTTTTTACTGACACCTATTTTTTTTTCATAATAAATAAATGACTTTATAATAAGTAATAGTTCGAATATCAACGTTATTATTGAATATTCGTGCCAAAAAAAGAAAGTAGAAGAAGAAACCCTAACCCGACCCGAAATGCCCCTGGTTATTTCAGGTCAGGTTCGGGTAATGATTTTTATGTCAAAAACCTGAATAACCCGACCCAAATGCCCACCCCTACTTACCAATACCCAAAAATGAGGGTTTGCGGGCCGTTATATAAATCCATTAGCACAAATTAAAAAAATAAAAACAGAAAAACATTCGCCCACCGTGGGGCTCGAACCCACGACCACAAGGTTAAGAGCCTTGCGCTCTACCAACTGAGCTAGACGGGCAATTATGCTTATCTTTCTCTGTTAATTTATCTGTTATATACTGTAGAAGTTTTATTTGTTATTGTCACTTTTTTTCTTTTTTTTTTAATATAGTTGTAGAAGGTTTTTAATATCCTAACAATTTTTGTTGTTTAAAAGTCTCATATTATCAATTGCTACAATTCAAGTGTTGATCCGTCCGTGATTTCTATCTCAATAGAGTCAACTATTATCAATTGACTCAAATTACTTTCAATCATTCGACTCCGTGTAAATAATTGTGTTCTGAGCCTTGCTTCAAGTTTCCTGGCCGAATTTCATGTTTTAATCGAATAAGTTTAACCCGAAAACTCACAAATTCAAACAAGTACAATCGAAATTTAGTTTCGATTTTGATATTTTGTTTTTTCTTCTCAATTTAGTTCTAAAACTGCAAAGCACAAGCCATGCCTTTTATTTTGAATTTAAACAGTACATTGTGCAATTGTTACATAAGATAGATTGAAGAGTATCTTTAGATTTTTGTTGGAATTGAGTTGTATTATTTTTTTTTTTTTGGTAGTGTTGGTGAATATTTACTATTCAGCCAAAGAGCGTGTAGAAGAGATGAAAACAAGTCGAACCGTATCCGAATCAAATCATCGGTTAACAAGTCATCCCATATATACGAATTATTTACGGGTTCGGTAACCTCAAATTTTATTTATTATTTAGAAGTGGCAGCAAGAAATTCGAAAAAAAGAGAGAATTTTCTCTCAACTTTCTCTATTACTAACCAAAAATGCCTTCAATGAAGTAATTTTTCTACATATCCTAAACAAAACTCATCACAAACTCAAATGCACAAACAACATATATACATTAGCAATTCCATTTACGTTGACCAAAATATATAACCTCGAAAAAAATACCTTAACAATAAGACAGAATCGAAAGAATGGACGTGTAATGTCACTTCAAATATTTGTGTATAAATTATCCCTAAAACGCTTCCAATACGAAGCATCCCGAAAATGGAAGTCCAATGACAGTATATTTATAACTTAAGAAAATATATGGCATAAAAACCGGAACAAATTAAACTACAACGTTTTCGAGCAGCTTTAGATACAATTATTCAGATGCTTCAAATTTTCTTATCTCGGATACAAACATACCTCAATCGTTTCTAACGAAGATATCAAATCTAGTGTAAACGAATTTGCAGCCTAAGCATTTTCCGCCGTGTCAAATGAAATATTTCTTTACAGGTTTGATCATATTTACGTTACCTTTTTGTCACTGATTATTTCAAAATTGATCACACACGGTATTTTGGTAAATTGTCGAGCAATTATGAACAATGAAAAACATCTGCCTGAGTTGTGAGCTACTCAACGTCACCGTTCATAACCGGGCGGGCCCCATTTCAGTGACGATATCATGTTCTTCGATTTCTGCATCGGTGAAAGTGAGTGCACGTTGCAACTTTCGAGGTGAAAATACTTCAACTTCCACCAAGTAAGAAGCGGTGACAGGTCGGTGGTCAGATAGCTTAAGCTCGGATCTCCTATAGCTTAGCAACTTCATTCCTGTTCCGAACGAGAGAATACGATCGCACCTGGATAGAATGAATCAATATAGAGAGAGAGAAACTTTGAAAAAATATTCTGAAAAAACGCAGTTCGGCAAATACAGAAATACAGGTGCATATTAGCTCTACAAAAATTAATATCTCAACTAGACTGAGAAATTATTATGAGAAGCAAAAAATGCGTACCAAGCAGGTGTTCGTCTCCCAGCCTTTGGATCCTGTCCACAGTAAGAATCGGAGTTTATATCATATTTGTAAGTTGGAGCAAAGCTCAAAGTACCTTCGGACCATCCATCAAATGCGCGGCCCTTTTTAAACTCTCTCGAAAGCTACAAAATCAAGAAGTTTTCAGTTAGCAAGACACAGAAAAATATGCATTAACTTCACCTTGCTGAGGAACAAAATTACAAGTAAACTGATAAAAGCATATTAACGAATAGTGTTTTAGCTACCGGCTTTCAGCTACTAAATCCAACACTCTTCAAAGAATTATAAAAGACATTATGTTTAATACTATAGTGTATAATTTGCAAAATTTCAGGTCCCACTTTTCTGAAACTCGATCTTCATAAATAGATTTTTAAAGCAATTCTATAGTTCTTCTCCCTATGCAGAACTGTTTTTCAACAATATGCTTGATATGCGGATGAAAATACGACAGGTGTTACTTGATAAATGGGCTAGAAAGAGACTTCCAAACCAAAACCCAAACCCAAACAGGTGCAAACCCAACAATACTTAATAGTACTTGGCTTTTATACTTCAACCAAATCAAGAAGAGCAAAAAGAAAGAAATAAAAATCACCTGATCCCGCTCCAATAGCATGGACCATTGCTTTTTGGAAACAAGTTCTTTTGTCCGCCCGTAAGGTAAATTAATTCGATAGTTCAGGTCGCCCAGCCAGATTATTCGCCTGCAACCAAATGGGATTTCTTATCATCATATTTACATTTTAAACCTTATGAACTGACTTCAAGAGACACTAGCAAAAACAAAAAAATGATGATTTCTAATCACGAAAATGTGATTTGAGGGTAACAAGTAACAACTAATAAGAACATGTAAAATAGTTTAGAACTTTGTATTTATGAATTTCCTTTACAAATCACAATTGGTTAATGTGAAGTCGTATCACTATGATCACAATGAAGAAAATCCAGCGACAAGAACCTTAAATCACTTGTTTCATGATTCCAATTTCCAGGGCAAATGTATAAGGCAGAGAAGCTCTTAGACATAAAAGGAAATTGAGGAACCGTAAAAGAAGTGCGTAAAAGAAGTAAGAAACTCATAACACATTAGGGAGGAAATATCCAATTATTGGGAAGATTAAGACATCATTTTTTCATTAATTACTATAATATTTGTATGGCATGTTTTTTTGACACCTATGTACAGGAATAACCAATAATCATGTAATAAAATAACATTTTATGGTAGCAACTTAATTGTTGAATTTAATATATGGTGAATAAAGGGAATCCCAAAAAAATAAAAATTTGAACTTATTTTGGATAATTCACAATGTTAGAAAGTAGCATGGTTCCTGAGCATCTTATATGATTACTGGTTCTAATTTTTTATGCTTTTATTTTTAGAACTTCCAGAAAAGGTAAATTACACTAAATGATTTCCGTCCCTTTAAAAGTTGCTTCTTTTAGTGATAAATAACAAGCTCTGCTCGTCCCACTCTTCGCTTAAAGTTAATACACACCATTAAACAAACAAACGAAAAATTAATATAATCCAAATTAAAGAAAGAGGGATATACTTACTCATGGTCATAGATGCTTCGAGGAAGCCGCATACCAGAGAGGGAATTGAACTGTGTCCGTCTATGTATTTCAGCCACATCAGCATTTCTTTTGGCTACATCCCCTTCTTTCTCGCCTGATGTTAGATGAGCACAAACGAAGCAGAAAAGTGTCTGATGTATTGACATGCTGACTGATATTGATCCCTAAGAGAGAAAGAGAGTTATGCTACAAAATATGACTGCTAAAAAGGCAAATGAAAAATTCAAAAAATAAGTAAATAAATAAATAAAGAGAAAGAAAGAAAGAAAGAAAGACAAAAGTTTACAAAAAACGCAAGCTGGAGATCAGAAGAACAAACCTTGTTGCCTATGTAGCCCATTACACCAACACCAACAGTAGACACATTCAAATTTTGTATATGCCTTCGCAAGCTCCTACGAACCCATATGGTAATAAATATGCCAACCATTTGCTTGCTCACAATCCTAACATATGGGGGTCTTCTCTTCCGGTTTATTAGAGATTCAAGGTCAACCTCTGCGAGCGAAGCTAAGTCAAACCGCATTCTATTCTCAGTAGTCGTGTTTGATTTGAAAGAACTACACGTCCCGAAAGATTTGGAAGCTCTGAAAGTTTTGAAGGAATTAGGCCTCTCAAAATCATGCTGAGGTAAGAGATGAAGTGGTGGCTCCGGCCAACTTAAGCCGATCCTTTCTGTCCCACTAAATGTTTTGGTTAATCTTTTGTTATTATTGCTATTTGGGGCTTCCTCATTTTCTTCGAAATTTTCATTTTCAGTCCCTAAGCAATTCGACCTGTCCAGCATTTTTCGAGAAGAAAATTGCCTCTGCAACTCCTGACCAGAAGAATCTACTTTGACTGTTTCATACTTGATTTCATCGAAAACATCCGATTCTTCATTCAACGGGTAGATTTCTTCCTCGACATCACTGTCAGATTCAAGTACGATTTCATCTTCTATGTCCAGAGCATCATCTGATGGTTTAAATTTTGATGGGGAAGGTGGATCACTGTAGCTTTTGAACTTAGAAACCGGTGGAACCTGGTTCAGAGTTTCGCGTATTATATTTTCCCATTTCGAAACTGGACGATTATCTTCGGCTCCAAATATATTAACAGCATTTAATGGTATGATCTCCTGAAGGCTGTCGATGTATTTACAAAAAACTTCTCAGATAGCGTATGATCACATATAACCACGAAACGAAATTGACTTTGTAACGAGGACAAAGTTTGATACTTAGATCACATAATACACTGTAAATTAGAAACGAGAGGGATTATAGGAAAACATGATGTACTTACCCAATCACATAAATATCAGCAGGATCATCAATATCTAACCAGCCATCAACATCTAGGTCATCGGGAGGAACACTTCCCCCGGTATTCCATGTGGCAGCACATATTCTAGTAAAGCCAAAGACAAGATAATGGAAATCAAAATCTCGCTATTTCCTAACTAGAGCTCAATGATTTTAATAAGCTGTTTCGGTCTTAAAAATGCAAGGCAAAAACGTACTTGATTTCCTTTGTGTTTATATACTGAGCTCTAAATGTTTCTGATTTTCGTCTTCTTAACCTGGGAAGAGCGTCTAAAACTGAAAATGGCAGAGATACACAGCATATAATTAACCTTTTGATTCAGAAAGTAAGAGATGCAAATACTTCACAGCTGCAGGCAGAGCAGCATAAACTCCATGATGTGGAGAAGAACACGACGAACGTGCACAAATATACCATCCAATTTGGTGCACGCATTGCTCCAAGTGCACAATCCACCCCCAATTCCACACACACACAAGTGCGTGCATGTGTGTTTTGTGACAATTGGAGGGTCGAAGCGTTAGGTGCAATAAAAGTTCACCCGAGTACTCGTCGTGTCAAAAACAGTAAGCTTCTAGTTTTAGATCTACCAGCAAGCAATCAACACTAACAACTATATAACCATAGATTCTTCAATGAAATAACAACAGACAGTTCATTAAACAACACAAGTATGCCTACCTTTGGTCTTTATTGCTATCAAACTTTAATCAATCCTTAAACCACTCTACATTCAAATGAACAAACAACAAAAATTGCTAATACTGTGTATCAAGAATTGTTCGCTAAAACCGAAAATGTAAAATTCAAATTACATTAACGAACAACCGTCTGCTCCGAAATGCAGGTATGCCTAATATGTTCATTCTTGATTGTACAACAATGGTCAAACTACAATAGAGGTAAAAAAGCAACCAAAGAAAGTGAAATCCTTAGAGTTGACCATTCAATGAGTAACAGTAAAACACAAACAGGATTGACTGATTTGTTTTCGAGAAAACTTAATAAGAGAAGTTACCATTAGCATCAACCTGGCTTCCATTTGGTATTTCATTTTTGAAGCGCGATACTCTAGGCAAAACACAGTATTCTGCAAAAAACAAAAAAACAAAAAAAAAAGTGAAAAATGAAATTGGGGGTTTAAGCAAAACGACGACGTAGTGAGACGAACCAGGTTCGGAATCGGAGTCGGATTCGGTATCGGCAGAGTAATCGGAGTTGGCGGTGGGGATGTTGAGCCACTTGCGTACCAACACGCGCCGCCACGAGAGCTGCAGGCACGTGCAAGCGAAACACAATATTTCAGCCCAATTTCTCTGCAATCCTTCTTACGTCATCCCAAAAAATACCAAATAAAAAAAATACAAAAAATAAATAAATTACACACACTATATTTGTCCTTTTCGAATTTTCATTTTGTTAAAATTTTGCATAATGTATTAAATAAGCTAAATAATATAGATTGAATGAGCTATAAAAATAAGGGTAAATAGCGGTTAACACCCCTGTAGATACAAGTTTTTGCAGATGACCCGTTTGTATTTGTAATATCAGCACATAACCCTTGCACATAACCCTTTGTAATTGATGGGGGTAGCTTCTGTTAATTTTTCCGTCAAACTTAACCGCATGTGTCAAATGTTAAAGTATTGTTTTTGCAGATGACCCCATAGTACTTTTATTTTTGCAGATGCCTCCCTTGAAGTTTGACACACGCGGATGAGTTTGACGGAAAAACTAACAAAAACTACCCCACAAACCACAAGGGGTCATCTGCAAAAACTTATAAACACAAGGGGGTCAAATGTTATTTACCCTAATAAAGAATATAAAACAATATACTATATAGTATATAAGATGGGATCAAGTTATGCATATGCAATATGAGCTACACGAGCATCACACACTTTGCAGGTAGGACCTAAATGCAGTTGCACATGATAAACTATCTACTTCTTAATTTCCTTCCTTACTTTTACTTGGGTCAATTATATATATATATCCTTTTAGAACTTTTATTCATTTAAAAAATTATACTTATTGTTAATGGCGAGTCCATAAAGTTAGTGCGGGGTGGGCATCAATTATCGGGGGTTCAAGAACAGCGTACCCGGACAAAAAATTGAAACATTTTTTTGGATAAATTAGAAAGAGAATTTTTTTTGGGGGATTTTCTTTTATATAATTTGAATTTTGGGTGGGTTAAAAATAAAAAATTGAATGGGCTAAATAATAATATATGTAAAATATAATGGAAGAATTTGTAATGGAGGGTTTCAGTCCACCGTAATAATATCGATATTATTAAATATTTTGAATTATTTTTGATAAAAAATAATTCAAAATGTTTATTTTTTTTAGTAACTAGAGAGTTGAATTAGTTTATTACTTTTGATATATATTTTGATTTAAAATGTTAATTCAGATCTGATAATCTTTAACTCTACTGAAACATGACATGTGGTTGGTAATGGTTGGTTTTATTTATGAGCGAAAATATTTAATTTTTTTTAATTGTTTTCCTTCATTTTGTTTTTATTAAAAAAAGCAGGGAAAAAGATAGTTTGACCAATGAAGTTGTTGCACATAAGCCAAAAATAGGAAACGGAAACACAAATGGGTCATGAATTTAATTTTTTTGTCCAAATTATGCTTATCATATTCTACCATTAAATAGACAATAGTCTATTTATTCTATGAAACTGTCTCTTTTTAAAAATAATTGTGTTCCATATTATTTGTCAATTTAGATTTTCAATACTGCATTAAATGCATTTTTCTTATTTTAGCCTTATTAATTCAACTATAAATATTAACTCTCTCTTATCACATCATTAAATAATAAAAGTTATTTTAGTCTTTATAATATATTTTACCTAAAATCAAAATACATTTATTGAGCTTCTTAATACTTGTGCAAAACAAAAACGACACTTAATAGGGAACGGAGGGAGTAAATCGGTAATGTCATTAAAACTCTTAATGAAACTCTATAGCACACATAAAATTTGTGTGGTATTGATTTTATTAAGGGTATTTATGTCATTACCTATTAATTTTCTATTTTTTATGTTGGTAGTATTGAAGTGAGAAATAAACGATATTTGTTTTAGCCGTCACCATACTTGAATCCTTAAACGAAAATATAAATATGGCAAACTCATTTAAAATAAAATAGAAATTCATTGAGCTAAAAGTCTCGCACAAGTAGGTGTACATATGATTATAAATGAGCCGAGACGACTCAACAAAAGTTCGAACTCGACAAAAGTAAACAAACGGATTTTTCCAATATTTTATTAAAACTATCATAATTTTATGTAGTTTTATATGTTTTGCAAAATTGAAGTAATTTTACAACATTCTATATTTTGGTAAAAATGCTTGATCTGCGTAATAAAAAAAATTATATTCAATTTATATTTTCTTATAGAATTTGCAATTATTTTTTATTCTTCTTGAAAATACATTGATTTTTTAAGAAATGACACTTTTTCGTTGTTTTTAATATTTTTATTTTTAATGGTCAAATACAATAGGACCTCGTTAAAAACTTTGTCGGCTGACATTTTTTGAATTATATATATATATATATATATATATATATATATATATATATATATATATATATGACAATTATTGTGGGTTTCTTTATAGAATGCATGATATTTTGATTGATTCATAGTTTGATAAGATACAATAAAAAGCCCACCAATACCAGAAACAACTCTCTATGTCAAGATCTAATCCTATCAAAAAGCTCAAGCTTTTTGGAACTTATTCTATAAAATTTATGCCCAAGTTTATAATAAATCAAATAATTAAATTACAGTTACAGAGAAAAATGAAATATAAATAAATAAATAAAAGATAAGAAAACATACCTTTTTTATGAAACTGAAAGTGCTTTTAATTTCCTTAGTTCTCTGCAACTGGGGAAAGAAAACTGGTAATGGAAAAATCAGGGAAAGCATGATACTTTATAGGGCTAAACTTCAGCCACCATCCCTGAGGTAATATCAAATTACGAAAAAACCCTTTTATGTTTGGATAATTACGATCATCCCTCAACTGAGAATCTTCTTACACGTCTACTTTTGTCGTATTAAATTTAGTGAAATCTTCTAGATTATGTGGAGTATTCTCCAGTTTGTATCCGTTTTATCTCATCCGAACTCCACATTTTGATACAAGATGATCATAACACGTGTCTCTAAGCTTTTAAATATCAGCATGTGGTGCATCAGGAACTGTTTTTTTTTCTCCACAAAACGAGCACAAACTAGAGAACATTTTACGGAATCTAGAAGAATATATTGAGTTTGACACTATAAGGATGGACGTGTAAGAAGAATCATAGTTGAGGGATGTGGTTGGAATTACCCAAACAAGAGGGTGTTTTTTGTAACTTGACCTTACTTCAGGGCATAGCCGTAATTTATCCTAATTTATGTACTACCTTATCCAACCAAATGACAACACATAGAATTTAATCCAATATTTTATGTGAACAAGAGACGGTGATAAATAATAATAGTCAATTAGTGGCAGTCCCATGTGAAATCTTTGAGATATTATTATTAATTTGTACTAAATTTCTAATCTGTTGGGTGGGATTATAATAATACAAGTTTGCTTCTGTCATCTTTTTTAAGGATGTTTTTTCACTTCAATTTCTCAACAAGTAGAAAAAAATAATTCATGCAAAGTGTTTTATTTCAATTATTGTACTTGGAATCTCAAAATTAACTTTTTAATTTAATTGCTAGGACTTATATTTGTTATTCAAAACATGCATTTATTTAACGAGAGGTTTTTAAACATTGTTTCAATTTTATTAGTATCGTTCAAATCAAATGTACTTTTGACAATTTTTCGAATTGAATTTGACAAACTCGCACGATATTATTATTTCGTTGAGTTGACTTTCTAATCCAATTTGAATCGGCAAGATTAGATGTCGGGCTCGACTGTTATACAAGAAAGAATGAATATTGCTTTAACCCACAATAAGTCCACTTTAAATGTGATTTTGATTATCTTTTAGTTCGAGTTTAGAAACCTCAAAAAATCGTAGTTATTTGTCATTTGAATTGACTTTCTCACCCAACCTGAATCAACTAAATGGTTGGATGAGAGAGTTATTATACATAATCTCGAATTATGTACTAGCAAAATTGAAAGAACATTTAGCATTTCCTTTATTTCAAAGATAAGTGTGAAAGGAATATTTTAAAAAATGCTCTTCAAAGTAGGGGTGTAAACGAGCCGAGCTCGCCTTATTTCGTGAGCTCGAGGAGCCTATAAGTTTTAGTTCGAGTTCGAGCTCCTTGTGTTTCTAAGGAGCTCGAGCTCGCGCTCGAGCTCGTATACGAAACGAGCCCGAGCTCGAGCTCGGCACAACCAAAAATCCATCCATCAAATTTATTTTTTCAATTAAAAAAGTAATATTATTCTTTTTTATTTATTATTAATAATATCTATTATTATATATTATTAATATGTATTAAAAAATATAGAGAAAAGGTAAAGCTCGCGAGCTGTCGAACAACTGGAATAAAGCTCGAGCTCGACTCGTCGAAAAGCTCGGGCTCGTGAGCTCGAGCTCGAGCTCGAGTACGAGCTTTTTTCGAGCAAGCTTCGGAAGCTCGCGAGCCGGCTCGTCTCATTTACACCCCTACTTCAAAGTGTTGTTTAAAAAATTTCAAATATTTTGTTCACTAATCTTCAAAGTTGTTACAGGTGGCCTTCAATAACCTTCATCAATAAATTCTAGGATGTCATATTCATCGGCACTATCATCATTTTTTTTTATGTTTTGTTGTTGGTCGTATTTCTGCTTCAAATCAATCATGCGTGCATATCGATGTTGGTTGGAATACCTACACGCAAATGCACGTATCGTACAAGTAATAAAGTGAACAATTAAGTCTGGATATCGACCCCACATGAAATATTTAATTACTTAATCCTACACGCTAAATCCTAGCAATTATTATCAAGCCCACTATACACAGTCGACTTTAGAGAAAATTAATTAAATTCAATTAAGCAAATTAAAAGGGCAAAAACAAGAAAGCAATTTAAACACGAAGATTAATCAAAGTAGACATGCCTAGAATTTTATTATCCCCTCTATGTGATTATTACTCCCCCCTAATTCCTTCAGTTATGCAAGCAATTAACCCGGATTATTAATCTGAGATGCTAAATTAATCATAACCCGCTTCCGCGTGTATTACGATTGTAATACTCTAGATTCAATTATTGTATTCCTACGCAATTAATTTTAAAACACAACATTAAACATGAATCTCAATAATGGCTACCTAAGAGATTAACATTCCTATGTTAATAGCACAAATGCTCTTCTACCACAGTTCTAATTATTAACCCGATCTTCCAATTCATGTGATTAACAATAACATAAAAGCACATAAAGTGGTCAGTTTCATGAACTTAATGAAACAAGTAGAAGAAATAATCCGGAATTAAAACTTGCATAAAATCATAGAAAATGGTTCATAAATCCCACATAGGGTTCGAAATAAAATCCTAGAAATAAGAAATTTAGCTAATCATGATTAAAGTAAAAACGCAAATAAAATAAATCATAAACGATAAATCTATGCTTGGAGTCTTCGAATTATTCGTCTTCGTTATTGCTTTGTTGCTCTTGAAATTGCGTAAAAGATGGATCCCCAATTGTGTGCTTGGCTTGGTCTTATATAGGGTGAAAATTTTGGAGAACAAGGTAGTTTCCTTGTGCAATTTGGATTCCTTTACTGCGTCTTTTCGTTATCTCGGACGGCCGTCTGAGTTTTAATGAGTTTTAAGTGTATTTCTCAGACGGCCGTCGCGAGCTATATTTCTTTAGATTTTTGACTTCTTCACCTTTGGCTCATATTTTCTCCAAAACTGCAGTTTTTACCCCATACTTTTCCAATTTTTCAATTTGTACCTAAAATACAATAAATCAACATTTTAAGCACCAATTATCGTTAAAACACACCAAAAGCTCCAATTAAAAGGTACGATTAAGTGTAAAAATATACACTTAACACACCCCCAAACTTAAAATTTTCGTTGCCCTCAACAAAATTAGCACACAGTTTAAGGATAGAAAACACCTGATTTAGTCGGAATCATCGTCATCGGGGTATGAGAATTGGCGGGAAAGAAATCTGAATATATATATATATATATATATATATATTTTTTTTTTTTTTTACCCGAAATATGTTCGGACGGCCGTCCCGTGATATGAGGCTATTTTCGGACGGCCGTCTGGCAAGCAGAGACTTGATTTTCAAGTCTCTGGATTTTGGACGGCCGTCTGGGATTTTGCTAGGATTTTTGGACGGCCGTCTCGACCATCTGACCACGTTGTCGACCCTGAAAATTAAAATTCGAATAGATTAATTAGAATGCATGCCTATGAAAGTAAAAAAAAAACGAAAAAAAAAACTACGAAAAACAATAAAGCTCGGGTTGCCTCCCTAGAAGCGCTAAGTTTAAAGTCTTCAGCCGGACGTTGCTTCTTTATGTTCAAGCAAAAGTGACCGAAGTCACTTGGCAATCTTCACTTGCTTCCCAATACAGTTTGAGCCGGCTACGTTTCACATTGAACGTACGGTTTGAATCTTGCTCCTTTATTTTGAATACTTCGTGAGGAAGAATCTCTTGGACAATAAATGGTGTCGACCACTTTGATTTGCGCTTCCTTGGGAATAACCAAAGCCGGGATTTGCACAATAACACCAATTGTCCTTTGTGCAAATTTTTTTTTTGACTTTATCCTTACGACCCCCCCAATAGCTTGACTCATCCTTCTCTCGTGGCTTGCTCGAGTCTTTGGGTGGCAACATCTTCCTTGCACTCTCATCGTTGTTAAGACCCCAACTCGTATGGCTTTCTCTCGGAGTAGTTGAAATTGAGTCCATGAAGTAAACTTGCTCCTTCCGATTCTTGTTTCCGCCATCATCTCCTGCACTCAAAGATGCTTTCCCATTGTCCAAGATCAAAACTTCAAAATTTTCATGATTTGTAAAATCCATAAGCTCAATAACAAAACATTCATTATTATCACATGGATTTTTATTAGCACAAAAAACATTGAATTTGATTGTTTGATCATGCACCGTCATTGTAAGATCACCACTAGCACAATCAATAAGAGTTTTCGACGTGGCTAAAAACAACCTTCCTACAATAAGAGATATCTCCCTATCCTCATCTATATCAAGTATAATGAAATCGACAGGGAAGATAAATTTATTAACTTTCATTAGCACATTCTCTAAAATACATTTTGGGTAAACTAAAGATCTATCGGCTAATTGAAGAGTTATAGTCGTCAGTTCAATTTCTCCTAACCCAAGATTTTTAAAAGTGGAATAAGGCATAAGATTAGCGCCCAAATCAATGAGCGATCGAAATTTTTTACCTCCTATAGTACAAGGAATAGTAAACTTACCTAGATCGCCGAGTTTTTTGTGGAAGGGGCCGAGTAATAATTGCACTCCATTGCTCGGTGAGTTGGATCATCTCGTTCCCTTGCAATTTTTTACCTTTTGTCATGAGGTCCTTGAGGAACTTCACCCACTTTGGCATCTTTTGAAGTGCTTCGATGAAAAGAATATTAATGCGAATTTCCTTCACCTTGTCCAAAAATCTTTGGTATTCGGCATCGAGCTTCTTCTTTATAAACTTTTGAGGATATGGAATTATAGGAAGAATAGAATAGAAACCCCCATTACGTTATGGGATGATTACATGGAATATATATAGAGAAATATTGCAAGGTAATAGAGTTTGACTAGGTAACTAAATCCTAACTAATCTAGGTAACCGAATCATACTAGAATCCTAATATTACAAGAGTTCTATAATATAATATTCTCTAACACGCCCCCGCAGTCGAAACGTGGTGAACGTGAAGACTGGACAATCACTTGTTAACACGCTCCCGCAGTCGGAACGAATAAACTCCAAAAGTGAAGACCGGACACGAACCCGCGAAATCCAGCATTGGTGAAATCCTTGGTGAAAATATCTTCCAAAATTAATAGAAAGAAAATAATAATAATAACATCGAGAGAGGGAGAAAATTCGGTTTGGTGTCGCCGGCCATGGAGAAGAAGAGAAGCGGCGGCTAGGTTTTAGGCCATGGAGAAGAAGAAGAAGAAGAAGGCCATGGAGAAGAAGAAGAAGAAGAAGAAAAAGATATAGAAGATGCACCACCGGGGGAGGGAGAAAATTGGGTGGTGTTCATGGAAAAGATAGAAAAAAAAAAGAAAAAAAAAAAAGAAAAGAAAAATATTAGAGTACCACCACCGGGGGAAGGAGAAAATTGGGTGGTCACCGCCATGGAGAAGAAAGGCGGCTAGGTTTTCACCGGCATGGAGAAGAAAGGCGGCTAGGTTAAAAAACCTGGTGCTCTGATACCATATAGGAAGAATAGAATAGAAACCCCCATTACGTTATGGGATGATTACATGGAATATATATAGAGAAATATTGCAAGGTAATAGAGTTTGACTAGGTAACTAAATCCTAACTAATCTACGTAACTCAATCATACTAGAATCCTAATATTACAAGAGTTCTATAATATAATATTCTCTAACAGGAATTGGAGGGGCTTGTGAAAGCACTGTTGATGGTTGCTCTTCATGAGTTGATTATTTTTCCTCATTCACTTTTGGCTTCTCGATTACCGTGTTTCTCTTCTCTTTTCGTGGGGCTTCCTCCAATTGCTTACCGTTCTTCAAGGTGACTGCTTGGCACGTCTCGAACTCGATCTTTTTCGTTAGCAACCTTTGTGGATATGGGACGGGTTCCACCCATTCAGCTACAGCGACTTGCGGCTTTATTTAAATTTCTTCCTTTTCCTCGATCTTGAAGTCGATAGCTTGGCACATCTCGAACTTTTTCTTTCGAGGGTCTTCCGTATTCGATGGCAATGCTCCTGCCGGACGGTTCTCTTGATTCAAAGTGAATTGAGCGAATTGATTCTCCAAATTTCGCAGCGAGGCTTGGGTAGCGGTCATGAATTGGGCTAATATTTCCTTCGTGTTTGATTTTTGGGCCGGTGGATTGTTGCCTTGCTAGCTTGTTGAGGAGGGGCTTGATTTTGGAATTGACCTTGAGGTCGTTGATACCCTTGGCCTTGTTGATTTCCTCCATATTGCCCTTGTGATCTCCACCCTTGATTTTAGAATTGGCGAGGCGCATTGTTGACGTAGTTGAGCGATTCCACATCTTGTTGGCATTGGAGCGTGTAATGATTTCCACCGCAAATTTCACAACATGGAGAATCAACGGCTTGGACTTGTTGCGGTGTACTTGCTTGGATGTGCTGTAGAAGGAGTTGATTTTGTTGAGAAATTTGGGTCACCTGAGCTTGAAGGGCCGTACTTGCATCTAACTCCAACACTCCGGGATTTTTCTTGGCTCCACTAACCGTCCTTTCGCTTGGCTTGGCAAACCGATTTTGTGCAATTTAATCCAACATAATAAATGCATCCGGTATCGATTGACTCATAAAGTTACCCCCGGTTGATGCATCTAAGACGGTTCGTGCATTCTCGTTAATACCTTGGTAGAAGATGTGGATTTGTCGCCATTGCTCCACTCCATGTGTTGGACACTGCCGCAAAAGAGTGTTAAATCTCTCCCATGCCTCGTATAATTGCTCGCCTTGCTCTTGGACGAAATTATGAATTTCTCGTCGGATTCTCTTGTCCTTCTCGGGTGAGCTGTAACCTTTCATGAAAAGGTTGAGGAGTTGAGGCCACGACGAGATAGAGTGGGGGGCTTGGGACATCATCCACTGGCGATCTCTTCCTTGTAAGGAGTGCTTGAAGAGAATTAATTGAAACGCCTCTTGGGAAATGCCGTTTTGACGATGGGAATTACAGGTATCTAGAAAATTGACAATGTGAAAATGGGGATCTTCACCCGCCAATCCACTAAATAGCCCGTTATTTTGGAGCATCGTCAAGAGATCTTGTTTAATCTCAAAATTGTGCGCCTCAATAAGTGGATACTGGATGCTCGGGTGGAATCCGTCAAAAGTCGGGATTATGTAATCTTGAAGTGCCCGTGGCCTAATTGCTGGCTGTAAAGGAAGTTGAGGGGGTGGGTCTTGGACTTGGTTTCCGTTGACCTCGAGTAAATTACCCTCTGCGTTTTTTTTTTGCGTTCTTCGTTCTCCATTATATTGTTTGCGCGTTGAAGTCTTCTAGCGCTCAAAAAGTACGTTCGATTTCGGGATCAAATAGTTCTTTAGCAAGATCGAGTCTCCTGTGCATACACAGTACCTAAAACAAAAATAAAATAAAACAAAAATAAATGGGTGAATCGTGAAAATTGTTCAAATTTAGAGCTAGAATAAAATAAATAATTAAAATATTCCCCGTCAACGGCGCCAAAAACTTGTTGGTTGGAATACCTACACGCAAGTGCACGTATCGTACAAGTAATAAAGTGGACAATTAAGTCCGAATATCGATTCCACTGGGAATATTTAATTACTTAATCCTAGACTTTAAATCCTAGCAATTATTATCAAGTC